AGGCAATTGCTCAAGCTCAATTTACCTATGCGATGCAAGTTTTTCTGGTACCTATCGTAGTAATTACGGAAATTCAAAGCTTAATCTCGAACTTCTGGTGGGGTCAGTAGGGAACAAAATTCAAGACTCATTGGGTTGGATGAAACGAGCTATGTCGTCCAAAGGCTAAAGGTGGGCTAGATTTTAAAAATCTCCATGAATTCAATATTTTGGGTAAACAACTTCGGAACCTCATTTAGAACCCTACCTCTCTAGTGGCAAGAGTTTTTAAGGCTAAGTATTTCCCTACGAGGGATATTTTGGAGGCAGATGAAGGCTACAATCCTAGTTACGGTTGGAGAACTATCATTGCAGCAAAAGGAATTCTAAAGGAAGGTTTGGGATGGAGAGTTGGAAACGACCACAAAATCGAATTCTGGCATGACAAATGGATTCCCTCAGCACCCCCTTAGTTTGTGAGCTTATGGATTTGGAAGAAAGAGAATGAAAACATTCGATTCTGCAGACATACTTCGCCCCTACAGTGATCGATAACACATTTTGAAAATATCAATTCCCAGACAACTAGCTAAAGACCAATATGGTGTCATGAGAAGGTAGGCAAATATTCTGTCAAATCGGCCTGCAAACTATGGATTCAAGGACAAGAGGAAGAAGTAGGAGAGTTATACACCCCAATTGAGAGAGATCGGATCTGGAAACTTCCTATTCCTCCTAAGGTTAAGGTTTTTGCCTGGAAGTTGGTTCGAAACATTCTACCTATAGGTGCGAACATTGTGAACCAAATTCAAAAGGGATGTAAAGAATGGCCATTTTGCGGGGGCCAAATTACACATTTGGTCACTCAAATTACATAATTCTTTCACGTTTGCCATCCGAATTACTTTTCTTTCATATTAGCCACTAACTTTACGATTTGTTTCACCATTAGTCACCAACCGTCAGTCTATGTTAAACTCCGTTAACACCGTCAATTATCTGATGACATGGCAAAAGAGAGGGTTGAGTGGACTGACAAAAAGCTAAGTCACATAAGTTGATCGCCTAGTCAGCCTCAATACCCAACTCATCTCCTAAATCTTCCTCCTTCCTTGTCCCCAACCCAGATTTCCAATCTAAGCGTCCCCTGTTCTATCGCCGTCGTTGCCTTACCGCCATAGAACCCGACGTCTCCTCTCCTCTCACACTCGATTTCCTCCATTACTAGTAAAACCTTTCCCTTTTCATATCCCTATCCCTAACCCATCACTTCGAAACATAAATCCCCAAAATCGGCAGAAGGAGAACGGTGGCGTAAAGCACCACAAGTGGCGAATTACCTTAGTCAGGAGTTCATCTTCGATTCCGTCGCCGTCTTATTGTGACCCCCTTTCCCACCAGTAGTCTCTTTCCCACCTGGCTCCGACCCTCGTTGGAATCGCCGGCCAGATCTGAGAGCTCTGGTTTCTTCCTCTCTCGATTGGAGGCGGCTTCAAGGGGAAGGGGAACTGTAAGATAAGCGGCAAGGCGAGGCGAGGGAATCGAAAGCGGCACGACCTTGGTTCCCGTCGTTGTACAGGGGAATTGAAGGCAGCGAAGCAGTCTGAAAATGCAGAGCCGGCCCTATCTGAGTTGTTCTTGACTATGACACGGAGTCGAATTCGATTTGGAGTCGACCAAACGCCGATTTGGGAGTTCTGGGTAGAAGAAAAGACCATTGTGGCTCGAACTGTAGGCCTGAACTGCTCCCGCCAGCGGACCCCAAGCTTTCATTTAGGCAAAGCTGTTCAATCTTGTCGCTGTTCTGATTTGGATTTTTTGGGCGAACTGGATAATTAGATTGATATGTTGGCGGCGATGAAGATTATGTTGGCGACGATGATCATTTGTGGCGAAGATGGATAATGGTGGGGCTGATTATTATATTATTGTTTGGCTATTGATTATTTGATTCTTGTTGCCGATGATGATTACTGGTGGTGACGGTGGATTATGTTGTTGTTGTTGTTTTGTTTTTACTCGGAAGAATTGGAGAGGACGCGTGGGTGAGGCTTGGTGAGAATGAATGGTAAATTATTATTTCATTATTTTTTAATTTACATGTCATTAAGTTAACGGTACAGTCAGCAGTTCCGTTTGCCACGTCATTAAAAATTTAACGGAGCTAACAGAATCTGAAGGAGACTAACGGACGGTGACTAACGATGAAACGAATCGTAAAGTTAGTGACTAATATAAAAGAAAAATAATTTAGGTGGAAAACGTAAAAGATTTATATACTTTGTGTAACCAAACGTATAATTTATCCATTTTGCGGGCTAAACTCATAAACACCACTTTCAAGAGTGCGGATGGGTCAGGAGGGTATGTCGACCTAGCAATCTAAATCTACTGTTTAAGAAGGGACGAGACCTTACCTCCTGTTAGGAGTGGATGGCCGAGTTGCAAGAAATGACATCAGACGAGCAGCTGGGTCAATTCATCGTGGCCCTATGGTTCATTTGGGAAGAGAGAAACGGTCAGTTATGGAATAAGAAGAAACTCGAAGAGTTTGAAATTATGAGTAAAGCAGGTAGATGGCTCGAAGAGTGCCAGGAACACCAGCAGAAGCAAATGGTCAGTCAAGGAAGAAGGGAGTATCATTGGAGCCCGCCACTTATTGCTGATTTCAAGGTGAATATGGATGCTGCATATTTTTAAGAAGAGGGATCTTATTTCGAAGCTGTAATTCGGGACAAAGTGGGCAATTTCTGTTTAGCAGCAGTGAGGAGAAGTAGGACGACCTAGTGGGTGCCAGAGATCGCGGAAATCAGAGGGATTAGTTGGGAGAGGATTTGGCGGTGGAGTATGGTTTCTCCCCTGTCAGATAGAAAGCGATTGTCTGAGTGTTGTCTAGAAATTGCAGAGAGAGGAAATGGCTATCTTAGAGGAAAGAGTGGCCTGTGTCGTGTGAGAAGCTACATGAGAGACTTCAAGAATTGGGCTCAATTTGGGTCACTTTCTCGGGCCATAATAGTAGCCAGACAACTCATCTAATGACCCACACTTCTTGTAATTGGGAGGAGACTGAAATTTGGGCCTCCAAGCCACCTATTTTCTTACTTTCCCTTCTTGTTTCCTGTACTATTACTACTTATTAATATGAAACGATACATGTCCTTTTATAAAAAAAAAAATAGATAAGCTTTTTTTACAAACGGGCTCATCAAATGATAAATTAAGTGTGGTACTAGTTTTTTTGTTTTGTTTTTGTTTACGAATTTCCAATTGACTCGAATACAACCTTAATCGTCGGACGGAAGTCGCTCAAAATTTAACTACTAATCTACTATCATCCATGGCTAAGAGTCCGGATATGAGAAACACGACCAATTTCCATCCATGACCGTGAAAGTTGACGAGCACATAGTTGTTCGGTCCGGAGAGCCCGGTAGAAACAGCTCATTCGCTTCGCTTTTCCCTTTTTAAAGCCCAGCCTATGTGAATCACAAAGAACTAATATAAACTGCCAAAAAAAGAAAGGCAAAATACATTTCCATAGCCATAACTATCCACTTTGTGACAATAATAGCCAAATTTTAAAAAATACACAAATATAGCCAACTTTTGAAAACTAGTTTGACAAATTTAGCCATTTTCGTTAAAAATTTTAACACCGTCAATAACTCCGTTAGTTACATAAACGTTACGCTGATGTGGATGCCACCTAGACGACACATCATCTACAACTAGACATATCATACTCACTTGAATGCCACGTCATACTTTAAATAAAAATTTATAAAATTAAAAAAGGCAAGACGACTTGGGAGTTGGGACAGACTGGTGCTTCTTCTCTCCTCTTTTCCCCAATTTCAGAGTTAGGGTTCCGACTTCCGAAATTGTAGCAAAACCGGATTAGATCTTCCCCTGCTTTGAATGCGCCAGCATTTCGACGACCACCACTGGGAGTTCCGAAATTGTAACTTTTAACAGCGCCCGGAGTCATCTCCCGCAAGGAAGACAACGAACCACTGTAAGCTCGAACAGAGCGAGGGCTTCCGACTCAACGGACTCAGCGAGTTGGCAGGCGATCCATTGGTCGGCGAGTTGGATGAATTCGTGTTCGGAAGCGGCCGAGAATATTATTCTGTTGGCGTTGGAGTCAGAGAGAGTGACCAGCAGAGGAGGGATCGATGGCGCGACGGCGGGTTCATATGCGGCCGCTCCACCTGCGACCACTGCAGCCGCTCCACCCGCGACGACGAGATCCTCGAAGTGAGCGATGAGGAATTTCACCGACATTAGTGGTGATTTCTTCTTCTCCTTCGCTCTCTATTTCGATTTCCCCATCGTCCTCCCAAATCAATGTTTCAAAACCGTTTGGAATACAAATTGTTGAATCAGGGTCGACGAAAATCGCCGGAATCTGCATCCCATCCGGAGAATCCCAATTCCAGAACGACAGCGCGAAAGTGGGGTTATTGAGTAACGAACCCAAGATCCGCTTGCAGATGTAGAGGCAGTATTTATCATAGTTATCATCGCCTTCCTTATCTCTTCGCCCAAATCACTCTGCTCCTGTCCTCCTTTCTCGCTCGGAGTCGCCGATGGTTCAATCACCGCCGCCCTAGATTCATTCATATGCTCAGATTCCGTCTGCTCCTTCTGGCTCTCTTCGACTGCTCTCCTTACGAGAGGTTCAGTCTGCGGCTACCACTGAAATTGAAGACGGAAAGGAGAGGAAGGCGGATTGAAGACGGATAGGAAAGGAAGACGGAGAAGACGAGGAAAAGGGGACGGAGAAGACGGCTTTTCATTTTCCTTTATTGTTTTTGTTTGATTTTTGTGTTCAATGTAATTACAATAACCTTTCCATCTGGCATTAAAAATTGCCACACCACTTTTAAGCGTTAGTCTAGTCAGCCATTTTGACGTTGCCGTTAAAGTTATTAACGGAATGGCTATTTTAGTGTATTTTTCAAAATTTGGCTATTATTGTTACAAAGTGAATAGTTATGGCTATGGAAGTGTATTTTACCAAAAAGAAATAGCACTAACATAAAAGCTAAAAGTTTTGTACAATTTTCACGCGGTTCTAAATCAATCAAACGGATCTCGCCCCCCAGTCACCGAGCTACTCCGCCGCCGCCATTCTGGAAGCTGTTCGATCCGGGCGAGCTCTGCTCACTGAGCCACGGGTCCCGAACAGACACCGGCGAATATTCCTTCACCGATCTCTCCGCCGCCTTCACACAATCCGTCTCCGTCCTCACCACAACCAAACAGTCGCTGCGCATCTCACCTTTATCAAAACTCAAACTCAGCGGCTTCTCACTATCATTCGTCGACGACGACGAACAGCACGGCGAGATCTCCGACCCCAACCCACCCCCGCTACTATCGCCGTGGCTCTTCCTTGACTCCGCCGATCTGCAATCCCTAATTTGCTCCAGTTCCGCCGCGACCTCAATCATCCCCGGCCGCAGCTCCCTGTCGTACGCCAGACACCGGAACGCGATCTCCGCCACCCTGTGAATCGAAGAGAGCGTCCACGCGTCGGAATTCAGATCCAGAAACGGATCCACGATCTCATCCAACCGCCCGCTGCCGATCCGATCCGCGGCCAGATTCGCCAGATTGACCTCGCTCGACGGCCGGGAGAAGTCCACGGCCTTCATCGCCGTTATAATCTCGACGAGAACGACTCCAAAGCTGTAGACGTCGCTCTTATCGGAGAGATGGAAGTTCTGGTGGTACTGCGGGTCGAGGTAGCCGGGCGTCCCCTGCGGCGCGGTGGAGATGTGCGAGATCTCGGGCATCCCGGGCTTCCCCAGCCTGGAAAGCCCAAAATCAGCCACTTTGGACTTGAAATCCAGGTCCAACAATATGTTGCTGGTCTTAATGTCTCTATGATAAATGGGCGGGTCGATTGCCGAGTGTAGATGGGCTATCGCTTGGGCCGTTTCCAGGGCGATCGCGAGGCGGACGGGCCACGACAACGGCCCATCCCCACGCTCCCTTTGTAAATGCTGACTCAAGGTGCCGTTGGGCATGAACTCGTAGACGAGGATTTGCTCGCCTCGTTCGATGGAGCAACCCAGCAATCGAACCAGATTCGGGTGGCTGACCGACGAGATCAGCTTGATCTCGTTCAGGACCTGCTCGATGCTCTCGGTGTCGCGGTTTTTGATGCGCTTGATCGCGACCAACGAGGAGTCGCTGCCGCCGCGGTGGTGCAGTTTGCCGGAGTAAACGGTGCCGTATGCCCCTGTTCCGAGCCTCTGTGTGTCGGAGAACCCGTTGGTGGCTCTCTCGATTTCTTTGTACTGGTAGATTGTGATGTTGATCCCTTTGGCTTCGGCTAATCGGCGCTTCGTGGAGCTTTCGGCGTTCGAGGCCGATCGCCTTCGGATGAAGCAGCAGGCGAAGGCGAGGCCGAGGATTAGCGCTGTTGCTGCGCCGAATCCTGCGACAGGAAGGATTACGAAGCGAAATTGGTGATGGCATTACAAGTGAAACGTTACCTACTATGACACATATGCGAAATAACATGTATTCCAAATTACATGATTTTCGTACCAAAAAGTGTAAAAGAAGTTTATGTATCACAGACATTAATTACCTCCAGTTAAGATGGCAATACCAATGGGTCTGCAGTAGCCCAGCAAGTATTCAGAGGATCTGCACGAGTCTGTTTATACATTCACAAAGCGAGGAAACGTCAACATGATAGTAATGATTTTTCTTAATTAGAAATTTGAAACTATATTAATAATGGAGGAGAGTAGCCGCCGCAATAAATTAAATGTGTTATTATGGAGGAGCCCATGCATTTGCGGATAAGGTGATGATGATGGTGAATGGTCATCCACGTTGTGGAAGGTAATTAAGTAAAAGAAAAGTCACCACCTAATCTAACCAACTCCCATATACTTTTGAGCTCATCACATCGATTAAGAAATTCATGCTCTTGGTTAAAATGAATTTGGAGGTAAGCCCAGCAGAGAGTGACGTAGGGTGGAATTGGCCGTTGAAATTGTACTACTCAGTGGCATATTGGCATGGTTGAACCTGGTTCAAACGATGCCGGTCATGAAACCGACATTAACACCATTGATATTACAGGTAGGATTGATTTACGAATTCTAAATAAATGATGTTATTTTAGTGAATTTAATTAATCAAAAAATTAATTTATTATTTATTTCATGAATTTAGAAGTCAAAAGTTGATATATTTTTGGTGGATTGTTAGTAAATTGTCCTCAAATATGTTTTACATATGATTAAATTCATTGAATGTTTAATGATTTTCATATTCTTACATAATTTCTTAAACCGACCTGAACCGACACAAATAGATTGTACCACCGATTGTACTATTTCACTTGTCAAACTAGCACAATATAAATTGGTTTGACAACCTTCTTGTTAATTGTTTCATGTCATACCCAATAATACATCGGGCCTACTTCCGAAGATAAAATGATTAAATGGGCCCTTATCTCTGATTCTATCTCTTCACGCTCAATCCACGTCGGATCCATTCCTTGGAGCTTTTGCTCATTATTATTTATTCGTTGAATACTCATTATTATTTTTGACTAAGCAAAAGGACCACACAAGAAACATAAATTATTATTTTAGTCCCTGAATTTTAGATTTTTCTGCTCCAACCGTACTAAATTAACACAATGAATGCCAATAAATTTATCATATCAGAAAAAAATGCCAATAAATTTAGGAAAATAAATCTCCGAATTATTGTGCCTTTAACTTTACTTCACTCCACTCCGTACGTGATTAGGAAAAATATTTTTTATACCATAAAATAACAGACTAATTGCCTAATCAATCATCTTAATTAATACTTAGCCGCCCCGATGGCGATAATTACGTCGTTTGCCAAAAATTCAAAAGAGGAAATCCACCTCATAAATTAAAAAATTAAAACGACCTGACCTTTGCGGCAGCCGACGCCATCGCGGTACCCGTCGCCGGAGAACCCACGCCGGCATCCACACCGATACCCGGGCCGCCTCCAGTCTGTCGTATTCACGACCCGGCACTCGGCATCCTCCGAACACGTGGCGCAACGCCTGCCGTCCATCCACCACTCGAGCTCCATCATCTGGACCTCCAGCGACACGCCGGAGGTATGATCCCCGGCCACCGCATACTCCACCGAGATCGACGACATCAGGTACTCGCAGTCCGTGTGGCGCGTCATGTTGGCGTAATCGAACAGCCCGTTCCACGTCAGCGAGTCGGAGAAGCAGCTGAGGCTGCCGTTGGTCCCCCCGGGTCGGCCGGAGCAGTTGACCGAGTTGACCGGCTCGAAGTGGGTCTGGACGTCGATCGTCGGGATATTGCACGTCCACACGTCGGTGCAGTTGTGGAGGAGGATCGCGTTGCTGGATTTGGGTGCGTAGTTTTTTGTGAAGAGCGATTGAAGGACGGCGATGGGGCGGCCGCAGGTGGGGTTGATGTTGATCCTGATGGTGGAGTTGTCGACGGCGGAGACGGGGAATTCTCCGATGAAGGGCTGGCCGGCGGGGGAGCAGGTGAGGCGGACGTGGCATCCCGGGGAGAATCCGAACGGGTAGTTTAGGTGGGTGGCGCCGCAGGTGGTGACGCAGGTGGAGGCGGCGGAGAGTTGGTGGTCGCCTCCGGCGGCGGCGGCGGGAGTGATGGAGGGGAGGAGAAAGGGAATTGTGGTCAGGAGGAAGAGGAAAGTGGCCAACATGGTATTACATATGTGTTTTTGGAGAAGAGAAATTGGGAATTGGGTTATGAAGGTCGGAGATTTCGTCGAGGGAAAAGAGAATTATAATAATCCGGCGGTTGTGAAAATTGAGTTGGTTGAAGAAGGGGAAGGTGGAGTGGAGGAGACGGTGGAGGGCTCCATGGTTTCGTGATGGGAAATTGGGAAAGGAAGGAACTTGGGAGATGGGCATATGACGAAATTGATGATAGAGTGTGAAATGAAAATGAGAGAATTTTTGAGTTATTTTATTTTATTATATTTTTCTTGATTTCCCACTTTGACAATGATTCCCTCCTATTTGTTTTTTTAGGGTTATTGTGGTATTGGTTCCTATATTTTGTTTGGGTTACCAAACACGTCCTATCGATCTTCATATTCAACTCTAGCATGTCCTCCCCCTAGCTTGTGATAATCAAAATATCATATGTATTGCGGGTAGGGGTGTCAGTCGGTCGGTTTCGGTTTAACCGAAAACCGAATTCTCGGTTATCGGTTAAACCGAGCGACCACCCCTGGCTACCGACCACTGACCGTGGGAGATACAGCGGTTAGCCGACCACCGACCGGTCGGTTGGCCGGTTTTGGTTCGGTTAGCCCCAAACCCGAAAACCACACCCTTATCTGAAAAAAAAAAAATAGAAAAATCCAAAAATCCTCCTACCACTCATTCTTTATCTGCTCAATCCTTCTCTCTCCCATCCTCAATCCAAAAAAAATCCAAAAATCCTTCTCTCTCCCATCCATCAATGGAACTCTGTCGAGTTCGCCGACACCCCGCCATCCTCGCCGTGTTCGACGACCGTCTGGCCCCCGACTACGCCGCCTCCCTCGGCCGGCACCCCGCCGTCCTCGCCGTGTTCGACGACCGCCGCCGGGAGCTTCACACCACCAGATCCCCTCAGTTCCTCGGCCTCCGAAACCAGCGCGGGCTCTGGTCCGAGTCCGACTACGGCTCCGACGTCATCATCGGCGTCTTCGACACCGGCGTCTGGCCCGAGCGCCTGAGCTTCTCCGACGCGAATCTCGGCCCCGTTCGGTCCCGGTGGAAGGGGATCTGTCAAATCAGAGCTTCTTTCTTCTTTCTTCTTCTTCTGGGTTTTCATTTTGAGAGGTGAAAGGGAAGAGAAGAGAGGTAGTATGACGGAAGAGAAGAGGGTCTTCTTTTTCTGGATTTTCATTTTGAGAGATGAAAGGGAAGAAAAGAGAGAGAGGATGACGGGAGAGAAGAGGGTCGGGACGTCGGCTAGGGTTTGGGGGGGTCGTTTTGAGGGGTCGTTTTGAGAAGGGGGCTGGGTCGTTTAGGAGGCTGGGTAAAGGCTCGGTTAGCCGGCTAACCGTCGGTTTCCGACCTCGGTTGGTCGGCTAGCCGAGCCTTCTCCCCTCGCTACCGACAACCGACCGAATGTAATTAAGAACGGTTTTCGGTTAGCCGAACCGAAAACCGGTCGGTTCGGTCGAAACCGACCGATTAGCCGCTAACCGGAAAACCGATTGCCAGCCCTAATTGCGGGAGAGATTGTAAGAATTCATGTAATGTTATAATACAGTGTTTGGTAACGTGAACCTTAAACATTGCGTAATTCATGTTGACTTGCATTGTGCGATTACAATGTAATGTAATGTGAGAAACTATATATTTTGAGAATTAGTCGGCACAGAGTACATGGTTGCCAAATTGACTCTAAAATGCTCTTATATATCAATCTTAGGTTCCTAAACGATAGTTATACATCAAAATGCAACTATCCAATCAACTCTTGGCAATTTTATGATGGGAGAAATGGATAGTGGTGTGTTTGATAACTGAAGCAAACAAAAGGGTTCGTAATAACTATAATGCTCAATCACCCTTTCTTTGTATGTATGTGTGTGAGGTTCGTCGTAAATACTAAGTTATGAGTCCATTTCTTCTTGACTTTTTTTTTTGTCTTTTCCAATTGAAAGACTTGCCTTGTTCTTTCTTTGCAAATTCTCTCTCTCCTATTAGCCGGCGGAATAGGGTTGTTTTGTGGGATCTAGAATGGAATGTGGTAGTTGGTAGAGAGAGAGAGAGAGAGAGAGAGAGTTATACTTTGTATAGGATCAAAATTGAACGGCGATTCCTAGTTCATGAATTTTCTGATGGTTGAAGAAAGTTTCAATTTTGAGAGAAAGAGTGTTTGTTTGTCTTGAGTTTGTTATCGGTTTCTTGTCATTGATTCAAACTTTAGAATTTATACCCGTGAGCAGATACTAGTTTTGTTAATATCCAGTAATACTAATTCACACGCAACTACACAAGATCATCACATATCACGGACGGACGGACTGAGTGCATAACTTCCGGGCCAGTGACCAGAAATGAAGCATGCAAATATGTTGGGGAAATTGTTCACGTATACTATTTTCTTGCAACACAAGCAAACACATAAGATTAAGAAAAACATGCAAAGACACATGCAAGCGTCCTAGCCGATAGAATTCACTATCTCTCCTTAAAGAATCTTATTCCCCTCAAGTACCCAAGGTTGTGGAATGATTCCTCCCAAGATAGAAAGGACGTACCTTTTCCGGCGTAGCGGTACCTCAAACCCCGGAAACCATCGAACGCAGCGAAACGGCGAGAACCACACTTGACTCTATTTTCTCTTTGAAAAGAATGTAGAAAAACTAGTTTTGAATTTTGGCAGAATTTTCGTATAGGAAAAACTATGTAAAAACTAGATGGGGTTATGTGCTATTTATAGAAAATGAAGGGGTGCGTACGAAGGGAGGCGACTCTTCATATGGGTGGTTACACCCCAACCATTGCATTGGTTCGTTTAAAATATTTCAACCATTGCATTGGTTCGGCCTCATGGAAGTTGGACCGGTTTGGTTATTCCAACCGCCACATCGATTCGGTTTGATTTGGTTCAACTCGGTTTGGTTTGGTTTGGTCCATTTGGTTACACAAACCAATTTATCCAATTAACCACATATTACATCAAATCGATCGAATTCGAGGACGTGCCTTCCCACATCTTACCAACATGGTACTTCAAGAGACTCTCTTGAAACTTTCCCCTTTTATTTCCATTCACACCACTAAAAATTCCAACAATCCCCCACATGAATGGAGAATGTTGTACTTTAAAAACTATGCAAAAAATAGTGTGATTCTCGACTAAGAATTAGTTGCATCAGAATAGGCAGGTGATTTCATGAGTGCTTAGAGAACTGGCCTTCTTTTATTCTCCTTGAAGCGGCTCCACTTCACACTCACATAGGTGATTTCTAAACGTGTATTCCGAAAATACACTATTTGATCACATCCTGTGTCAAACTTAGAAGCCATTAAAAACCTTCCATCTTTAGGTTTACCCTTATAGTTGGACATTGTCTCATCATGAGAATGGACTTTGAATAATTTGACAATGTCGGACCATCAATCACAACTTTGTTTCTCCTTGAACCTAGAGGTTGGGTCTGCCAATCCTGCTTAGGTAGAGTTACCGCCATGAAGATTTGTCCTAGGCCACGAGTCCATTCCCTTCGATGCTATCGTTAATTTCTAGGTAGGCCTAACGTTTGTTATCACTTGATCTAAGATGATCAATCCAAATAACTTTGCTAGAAATTAATCAATCCATAGTGTTACGTTTCCATTATCTTTGACGAGATTTATCACATAACACTCCTAGCCCTTGCAATAACACTTTTGTGCACAAGTGCGTTTTATTAACGCCAGTCTTTGCGGGCCAAACTACTCTACTTCACCGGTCTTAGAGTTTAACTTGAACGTTTTCCAAGATACTGCTCCTCGTTAACCATAAATGCCTATCCATTAATGGACTGCCTGTTGGTTCATCCGGTGAGTTCTCTTTGGGTACAATACACCAAAGACTCGTCTCTTTTCAATTCACTGCACATCTTGTGAGCTTGACTTGATTTTATTGCCTTGCAATAATCATAACACATGCCAACGGTATTGAAGTCTCTCCACTTCATTAACCTTAAAGTACTTGAGCTTCACAAGTATCTCTTTAAGTGTAGTGACATTTATGACTTAGCTTAGGGTTTACGCAAATCTTCTAAGTATCACTTTCACTTTAGAAACACCCAAGCGACATTCCACATTACTTTCCCCCAATTTATCCCCCACATTTCAACTATTTCGCCATAGTTGTTGAAACCAACGTTTCGGGTTTGGGGAATGTTGTTCATATACATTCATGTATAAGGTCAAAATCATCTCTTTGGGAAGAGTGGATCAACATCAATAAATATTCTAGCTCTCTGACATAACGTCAATATATGCTAGAGTTTACTCATAAGTTATACCCTTGGACTGGGTTAACTCCACAAGGTTTAAGGACTCTCACTTTCTCATTGGATACCTTCATACTTTCAAGTATGACTTCGCTTACCTTTCCACTTTTGTCTTATGGATAGGTTGCGTCCCATTGTAGGGTCTTGAGATAGTAGCCGAAACAATGGCTAGCTCTTCTCCCCCACGATTCTACCCTTTGCCAATCATCATGGAATAATCCCATTTATTTTCCATGGTTTTACTTATTGAACTTGTCAACCACTATATGTAACTAATTGTTTACCAATGGTATGATCTCACTCGATTAGCATACCACAAACAATTCAGATTTTTATTAGAAAAAATCATCCAATTACTTACCAATGGTATTGATCTAGGCAACTTGAGACGTCATAAGTAATTCAGATGCATTCCAGTAATGGAAATCCCATCTAATTACTTTCCAATGACATCTCATATATGTAACATGATGTACCACAAGTAATTCAAACGAATTTCCAATTCAATTGTCTAATTACTTTCCAATGGTATAAACTTCATGAATATACCATAAGTAATCCAAACTTTAAGTTCAATAAGGTCATCTCAATTGAGCTCTCATGCCAAATTGTTTTCCAATGATATATACCATAAACAATTCTGACACATAGCTACTTGATGACGACCATCATTTGGCAAGCTTATTAAA